TCTGGATGTGACACCATGATCTCACACAGCAATATAACATACAGTCTTCTGTTTGACTGCATTATTTATTCTATTTGTAAAATACGCTTGTTTTAGTATTTTTCATTTGGGAGGGATTGACTAGGTATTCTTTGCATATGGAAATTTTTTTTTTTTAATTCTAGATACAGTACTTTTGCAAACAGCATTCGATAACTGCAATTAGTTTGATACTGCTGAGAAAAGGTAATGTAAATTTCATGAATACCCACAATTGTAAGGAATGTGTGTAAAATACTAATGTAGAATAACGCCAGATCCAGATACTGCTCAGATTGCAGAAGCAAAAGGAGCCTTGTTAACCTGAAAAGCAACAGAAATATGTGGCTTAATTATTTTTTTTTTTCTTGCTATAAACACAGCCTCTGGGATTATTATGACAAAATGGTTCAGGTAAATTCATTAAGCTATTCTAAATTTAATAAGTCTCTATATAGTTCATGTTACAATATTCTGTGTCCAGTTAGCCACACTTTTTAATCACTCTTCCCTTAAACTTCCTGTCCTGTTAACTCAAAAGATGCTGTTGTCCATCGTTTGTCTTTGCTGAGGTGATCTTTAATGTCAAGACAAGTTCCAAATAATCTTGAATGCATTAAAAATATCAGTACAGAGTTTGAAACATTCACTTCTGCTAAATTTCAAGTTTCTTCTGAAGTCCTAAATAAGTTTTTTATTAAGGTGCAGCATTAACTGCAAAGTGAATAGCTGAATAATGGGAATATATGCAAATAAATTAACTGTTGCAATCCAGCATACTTAGGTGTAATTGAATACTGAACATTTCTTCTTGACTTATTTCTAGGAATGTAATGAATTACTAGTTGACATTTTGTTGTGATGAAACGTCATTTTGCATGCCTCAATATATGATCTGTTACTTTTTCATGTGAGATCTATTACCTGCTTGAGTGAGCTACTTGCTTGAGCTTGCTAAGAAATAGCTGAAACTACCATAAACCATGCCATGTGATGTATTTCGCCCTAAGTAGGATAAAGCTTATTGAGCTGAATTCATCTTCACGCAACTCCTTGGACTTCATTGGAGTTACATCAGAAATAATTCATCCCAGAATATTTTATTTTGTTTTACTTCAGAATTTATCATTTTAATGAAATCTTTGCCATCTGTGTTAGAAAACATTCTACAGAAACAAAATATTTCTTATACTACTGTATTTACTATAAAGAGAAAAATAAAATGGAGAAAAATACCTTTTCATATTTTAAATTAATATTTACACTGAGTTTAATTCCTAATTGCCAGCTCGAGCCAGCACAAAGCAGTCATTAAGCCTCATTTTCCCTTTCTCCCCGCCGTGGTGTCCATCCCGTGGCAGAAAAAAAACAAACCCAGATAAGGATCATTTTTGTTAGAAAGACTTCTTCTTACTCCCAGGGCAATGTACAGCATTACTGGAACCACTTGCTCCTCTAAAAAAGAATGCATTTCTTTATTCCATTTCTGGTTATGGAAGGAGTTAAATCTGCATGTCTCTAATTTCATTTTAGGCATCCTACTCTATTTGTTTCTATGCAACTTTCTATGCAAACTTTCTACAGCATTGTGGAGATGAGCAACTCTGCTATCCAAAACTTCTTCCACAAGAAACTGTTTGATATCCAAAAAACCTCAAAGTTTGCCTTGGAAAATTCAAGCTAGAAATATAGCTCGAGTTTTTATTAATGTAAATAAACAACCTTTGCAGCAGTTAATTTCAGGATATTGTGGGTTTACTTTAAACAAACAACTTGTGTCTTTCTAAAACACTTTTTTTCATTCAGTGATAAATCTATTTTGGCTGCAGGTAAGAGCTAACTTATGGCTTGTGTAGGAGCTCAGACTAGAAAGCAGTGATGACAAATTGTGTCCTGAAGACATATATTTATATTCTGCATTTTGTGTACTTTTAATAGGAATCTGTCTTATAAAAATTTTTTCATAGGGAAAAAAAATTGACTCTTGTTACTCTTATTTTTGGTTTGGTTTGGTGGTTTGGGTTTTTTTTTTTTTTTTTTTTTTTCCTGCCTACAAACTATACTTACTGCCCATTAAAAAAAAAGTGTTTTCAGCTTCTCTTCACATCCATCCCAAAATCTGCCATTAATGGTCGAGAAGACCATACCTGAATTTTATGATCTAGCAATGGAAGAATATATTGGAATACATATGTGCAACAGCCTATAACTCAGTTATACATATCATATTTGTAGCCTACTTGAAAGGCTACTGATGTTGATGTCTGAACTGCCCACTTCCTGAGAATTTTCAGTAACATTTTAGAATCATACATATTTCAAAGAAAAGTAATAAAACACTTATTGTAGATTAGCTGTGTATTTGTTAGAACTATGTCTTACTGTCAGGAAGTACTGTATGGTTTGCCTTTGCCAATGAACTTTGCCAATCTGTGGTATCTCATTAACAGTGACCACATCTGGACCCATCTTTTTACAATCCTCTCAGTCTTTGGTACGTAATGTAACGTGACTCGCACAATATTTTTTAATGTGCTATTTCAGTGAATTGTGCTTTTTGTATATTGAATTCTCTTACCTTTTTTTTAATCTGGTATTGCTTAAGGTTATCTGCCTCTGCATACTGATACAACATGGCAGTATCAGCTAAAGACACTCTTCAATTCATTTAGTTACTTTAAACTCTCAGTACGCTGCTACACAGTTGAACCTTGGCCGGGTGAGCTCATCCCATCGCCTTTTTCAAGAAGATAAACTGAATGCCATGAAGTTTGCCATGTGGGTTTCACAGATAAGGTTAAGAAAAAAACCCAAACACCAACCCTGGATGGTATCTGCTCTTCATAGGCATTTACTATCCAATGCAATATTTTGAAGGCAGTGTGTGGTTGGCTAAATTATTGCTCCTCCCACAGTTCTCTGCTATGTTTCCAGTTTCAGAGGGAAAAACACAGGCTTGTACATTGAGTATGAGTCATAACCTCTCTTCTGCTACTGACTCACTTGGGAGATTAAGGTAAGTCTTCTACCTTATGTCTCAATCGCTCTGCCCCCAGGACAGCCAGGAGAGAAGGAAAAGTTACGCAATGTTGTTGTAGATGAAAAGCGTAGATATTGAGACCAACATTATTATTATGCAGTATGATAATAATTTTGTGTGCCTGAAGTTGATTTTTTCCATAGCTTCTTCCCCATGTAGCACATTTTTTTTTATTTTGTCATGAAAATGTTTAAAGAAAGATTATGTTGTACCAAAGAGCATCTTAGGCTACTGAAATACTGAAACATTACTGCATTTCTCAGAGGAAAGTATATGCGCCTTAGATAGCATTTTGTAGCAATTGCATCACGCTGTTCTCTTTTACACCAATAATGACCAATAATAAACCTGCACAGTGGTGCAAAATTTATTGATGACTTCTGAAGTAAGAGGAGGCCCTGAGGAGCGTGGTACGTCACGCAGAAACGGCTCCTGCTCAGGTACCTGCACTCTGTCTGGCTTGGTTTGCAAGCATTGCGAGGAACTGCTGCACTTCCAGAAGTGCACTTTTGACACCTGAGCATACTCCTTAGCACTTATGGTATCAGAATAAATATCCGCTGGTTATCTTCTCTTGCGTTAGGACGCAAATAGTTTGCAACTTGGCTGTTTTGCCTTCCTACTTTAGTTTCCCGAAAGATACCCAGCTGTAGACTGTAACGAGGCATGCTAGTGAAGTATGCTTGCCGAACCATAATAAAAAAATTTGCACGTAAGTGTTAAGGAAATTACAGTTTAAACATGGACAGGCTTTGATAAGGCAAGGTGATACGCTGTGAGGGCATAAGCCAGGTGAAGAGCATAGCTGGCGGACACCAGCATGCCCACGAGCAGTAGTTGCAGTACTCCATGGGCAAGACCAGAGCACGAGGCTGATGATCAAACCAATCCGTGCCGTGGGAAAGACGTGTTTCCTCCACGGAGTGAGCACAGGTAGCGCCGCTTGGCAGGGGGTAGCGGAGGCAGCAGTTTGCTCTCTGGGGTTTTACTTTTGTGAAGTGCTTGCTCTGTCCTCCGCGTCCCTTTGAGTATTTTTGTAGGCCCGCTTTCAAGCCCCTTCCACAGACACACC